GAGCACGATAACTCTGTGGTACATGCAGATGTATCCTGAGAGAGGGATGGAGAGAGAGAGAGAGAGAGAGAGAGAGAGAGAGCACCTCATGAGAGGCCGATGCCGAGACTGTACCCACTGGGAAGATTGATGAAACAGCAATGCTGTTTTTTTCCAAGACGAGAGCAGAGGCGAGCAGAGCCGGTGCTAACTGCAAGTATAACGCGCTGGCTAGCTAGCTAGCTTCCATGGAGCGAAGGAGGCTTGGACCTATGCGGAACGGGCCGAACGAACATGCTGAAACTCGCTAGTGGCATACGTCTTTAGAACATCGGGCCGCGTGCGATTGAAAAGATGAATAGAGACTGCTGGCTTCGGTCTCTCCTTGTTTGTCTAGATCTCAGGCTTTAGGCCATGCCGCGAGAGGCGGAGTCGTTGAGTTGCACGACAAAGCGAGATCTGGGTCCCATTGTGCCTGCTTTGTGGTGACATCATGACAACTTTGTACTGGAAACCGAGGCAGATTTATCTGGTTCATGATGATCAGCTTCACGAAGTCTTCTTTTCCCCCACTTGGTCTAAACAGCATACCCTTCTGACCTGGTGACCCTCCTTCGTGATAAGGCTCCAGAGATAATCTTAATTTAAACTAGTCGCAAATGCTTTCGCGAAAGCACTCCTGTCCCTCATCGTCCATTCCCTCGCCCGCTGGCCATATTTTAGTCGGCCCCGGCAACAATCCTATGCCATGGGCTGTTGCATGTTGCCGTCACTCGCCACTCGCTCGCTCCCCCTCGCCCTCGCGAGCTCGTACAACAACAAGTCGTTCTGTCTGAACAGCCAGCGAGCCAGCCAGCCCAGGCTCGATCTCACGCAAAATCACGGCCGGGCGAACGTCGGCCTTCACGAGTCTACTTTTCGAGAGATGCGTACATGTTGTCGCTGTGGCTGGCCTGGTCGACACATCGACCCACCGTGTCTGCTGCTGCCCGCTTTTCCACGACTCGAGGAGCTCGCGTCACGGTTTCCGCAAGTGTCCACATCCTCGGACATGAGCTCCATCAGCAGATAAAGTCATCGTGTCATCACAATCTTGTTGTATTCTGCATTCTCTCCGTCTCATGCTCCCTCGCTACATACAAACTCTCTCTCTCGTATCGCGTACTGCTACTGATCTAGCCCACGATCTCCATCACTATCGTCATCGCCAAAGTATTTAGTGGACACTATCTTGCTCGATCTGAGCCCCCGAGTCATCCGATCTGGAACCCGAAGTATGCAGATCTAAAGATATTAGTGCATAGGCCCGCCCCCGCTCGCTACCATCTGTGAACTTTGGTTCGCAGTTGAGCACTGGGTAAAAGACGATGAGCGCTTGGCTCGGAGAGCCGAGACTGACCGGTTCGGTCAAGTTGAGGATACGACTGGATCGATGATGATCGTGATGTTGAGCGGAACAATTTAGTAAATAGGATCGGTCATTGGATTAAGTTTGTCGGCTGTTAACAAACCTACGACGAGAAATACAAAAGTTTGATGGATCCGAAGACGGTAACCTCGAGTGAAATCAGCTCCTACATATCCTGCAGCTGCCTGTCAAGGCCAGAGCTGGGGGGCGAGAAAGAGAGGCCCAAAGGGTGGCCAGGGTCTGGGGAATCAGCTTTCTGGTCTGATCTAATCAGGGGCCGGACTGTCATCTGTTGTTTCTGCCAAATCACGAAGAAAACGCTCGACTGGGCTTTTGACTCACTCGCGAATTATAAGCTCGTGCGTCTGCTCTGAATTGTCCTAAGAGCTAGGCACCTCTGCTTTTTGTGTCACCTCGACATTTTTACTTTCTGGAAAGCTGCAAGAGCTTCGTGAGAGTCATCATGAGATCTAGTGAGGGCGAGCTTTTTCTGAGAATTTACGTCGTCAGGTCTATTGTGTCGACTAGTTTGTAGTTCAGGAGCTGCTGCTGCAGCTGCTCGTCAAACTCATCGTCGTCCATATTACATCCAACCAATTCGCCAATTTACGTGGTTCTATTGTAGATACGAGCAAGGCTCGTCAAGACCAAATATGGCTCTTCACGCCCGCTCCCACTTCCCGTTTTCAGGAGCCTGCTTGCCCTTGCCCGGCATCTCCGGACAGAATATAGGTTTCCGGCAAACTTTGACCATAAGTTTTCTGGCGACTCTGGACTTAGAGTGCGTACTTCATTCTCCGCTCCATCCCAACCCATCCCATCCCATCCCATGCCCGGACCTGTACAGTCAAAGAGTAAATGAAAGTGTCCTCGCTCCCATCGTCCAATCCGAAACAACCTCGTGCATGAGAGAGAGAGAGAGAGAGAGAGAGAGAGAGAGAGATGAACTCTGCAATCGTAGAGCTAGCCAGCTAGCTCGGTCCCGTCCCCCAGCCTAGAGAGAGAGAAAGAGGAATGCGTTTCCTTCGTGGCGATAGCAATTCATAGTTCTCGAGGCAGCCAGTACTGGCTTGCTGATGTGTTCGTTAGACACACGGGCTCGGAAGAACCTGTTGGTGAAGGGTAGGGGTCCGAGGGGAGGGGAAGGGAAGGAGACGCAGTCGGAAGGAAGGCTGGGCAAAACTAGAGACCCCGTTTACTTAGCGAGGACAGACGGGTGACGATGATGATGACGATGATGACGACGGTGGTGGCGTCGTCCGCTGTGCCATGAGGGAGGGACGGAGGGAGGCAGGCAGGCAGGCAGGAGGCCGGGGTAAAGGAGGGTCTATCTACAAGCCGTGAGAGGCGGAGATCCAGCTCATGGGCCTTCGTCGAGAGAAGTGTCCAGCACAACATTCCCTCCGAACGGTGGTCGAGAACGAAAGTTCCCGACACGAGTAGCGGCTTGAGGGGGCAGCGAGCGGGCTTGGAATCGCACTGGGACTGCGCGCGTGACGACGGGCGGTCACGGGCCCGGCTTCCCCTCCGACAATTTCCAACTTCAACCGAGCAGCGACGACCTCCATGGCCCGCGCTGCCCGCTGCCCGCTGCCCTCCTCCCCCTGCCCTGCCCTGGAATCTGTTTGAACTCGGTACTTGGAACCGCTCCACCTGGACAAACTCGATCTCCGGGGTCAGCAAGTTTTGACGCCGCAGAATCCCGTGGCGGCATTGTCATGCTCGAGTCTCGCCTCATAAATGACTATTTTACTGGGGGGTCGATCCTCCTATGCCCGCCCGGCGCCATGACTTGATCCTGCGGTCAAGGGACAGCAAGTGTTGTCACTTTTCCACGGACTTCTCTTTTGCCCTCTCGACGACGACTTCTTCTTCTACTACCACTACCACTTCCACTGCTGCTGCTCAGCTGCTGCTACCTACATACATAGCTAAATTGTCTTCTCTGCCTGCCTCCTGCCTCCTGCCTCCTGCTTGCCCGCCTTCTTGCCTGCGTGCCTGCAACTGCCTATCGACACGAACGGACATTGCAAGCTTTAGGCTTGTGCTGTAGTACGTGCTACTTCTTCAAATTCGATCCAGCTACTGGGACTAGAGCTCTTGTTTGATCTAAGGGTCAGATAACCATGGGGGTGGGGTGGGGTGGGGTGCTGGGCTGTGCTCTCTCCCTCTTGCTCTCTCGCTCGCAGGCCCTCAGCCTTGCCCGTAGCTTTATCAAATCGATCCTCGGAATCTCTTTGAGAATCTTCACCTCTCCGTCCATCCATCGCTTTTCATGACGAGTTCTCCTACGAGTATAGAGTGGCAGATAATCTACTTTTTGCTCTTCTCCTCTTTTTTTTCCCCTCGTCCGGCGTTTCTTTCTGCCGCTGCTGCTGCAGCTGCTGCTCTCGCTCTTTTATTGCGTTGCTTTGCTTTGTGAAGCGAGCAGAGCTTACGAAACTACTGCAGATCTTGTACCATACAATCGTCAGTCTGAGAGCAGCAATCATCATCAATGTTCCTACCAATATTTGTAGGGAATGTCCGAGAAATTCAACTCGGTTGCTGTGTCTCGAGTCTGACAATGAGGCATAACGCAGAAAACCCATACATGTAGTACACTGGCAAAAGGCCCCCCTCTGGTGCAAACGGCTCTCTCTCTCTCTCCCTCTCTCCTTCTCTCTCTTAGGCAAGTGAACAAACAAACTCGTCACACGGCAAAATAGTGAGTCAACTGCTGCTTGTCCAGACTCCACGCATCATCAGGACGCAACTCAGAAGAGCAGCAGCAGCAGCAGGAGCGGCATGGGACCCAACCCAGCGTGTACGAGATCAAGGTAGCATGTACTTCAGCTAGGCCTCATGGAAACTCAACGATGCATAGCCTCAAAAAGATTTGCAGTCTACGACAGTTCTGGTCACCTTCTCGTCCCGCAAAGCCTGAAAGTTCACTCGCTCGTAACAAACTTCCAGACGCTTTTGCAGACGGTCTCGCAGGGCGACTACACTCTGCTCTGCCTGTCTGCCTGCCTGCCTGCTTGCTTGCCTGCCTCATCCTCGATGGGCCAATTACAGAGTACATTCCTGTACGCTTTGCATAGCTCTCGAGGCTGGAGACAAGCCGGTGAGGTGCAGTCAACGACAGCGGAAAGAGCTCGCGTTCTATTTCTGTGTCTCGTCAATGACATCACGGCTCGAAACCCGTTTCCAATTGTTCCATGAACCTACATCCGTCAATGGGCCCGCGTACGCCCGCGACCGCGACCGCTCGGACATCGAAGCTGCAAGCGTAAAGCGATTCAGCGCAGCAGAATAGACACTTCTCGTGCACGACTCAGAATATCACCCTGTCCACCGCACGCTTGCATTCCGCAGCTCGTGGCAAAACCGGATGCAGCTCGAGAGCTCGCTCATCGGTCAATGCATGAATGAGACCCGAGTCCGGTGGAAGAAGCCGAGACCAAAAAACGACGTGCCGACTCGCACAGCTGGCGAGCCACGCACATTTGTCAGGCTCGATGGGCGACATCTTGCATGCAGAACAAAAACAGTGCGCTGGTACAGGCAGGCGGGCGGGCAGGCAGGCAGACATACATACACACATACAGACAGCGCGAGAGGCTGCTCATCTCGAGACAAAAATTTTAGATTAATAAGGCTCGGCTCAGTAAGCATGGAGTCCCAAGAGCATCGTGGATCGAGAACTCAAAGTACATGACATTTGACATTGTACACTTTACATTGGGAACCATTCCGGCCTTCTTCTTCTATCCACAGACAAGTTGTACTAAAGTACGTTTCCTAAAGCCCATCCCATCCGGCATCCGGCATCCGGGGCGTTCGAGGAGGCGACCAATGTCGCGGGCAGATCCAGAGCTCACACTGATCTCTATATGCTCGGCGTGGACCGCGTCCTCGATCGCTTCATGCGAATATAAACTGTTGTTGGGACCGACTGCATTTCATTCAACCGCTATATTCCAACCTTGTGACGATCGGTATCATACTCCCTCCTCTTCTTCCTGACTTGGAGCACAGCTTCTTGAGTATCGATTGGCACACTTCCGACTTCCCACTCTCTTTCTCATTCGTGCCCACGAAGGAAGTGCAGAGCGAGTACTAGTCACTAGCTACGTACTGGCTGCACACGAATCTTGTAGCAAAAGCTTAAGCTAGCTAGCAAATGAGCCTGGCGAACATCTGTGAAGAGACATCATCCTGCAGAAATCCGCGTGGGGGGTGGTGTGTATGTGTGTATGTGTGTGTTGGGGGTGGTGCGGACTTCACACTGACCGACCGGAGCGACGACGTAAAATCTACGAGGGCCTGCAACATGGTCCCGTCTACTCCTCCCATCTGTTCTTGGCGCCTATAGTGATGAAGTCCAGGGCCACCTTATCCCTGATTCTATGCCGGTTGGATCTCATGTTGTGGATATAATCGGGCCAGGCGAAGTCGCGAAACTTTCTCGGATGTTCTTCGTCCACGAGCTCCTCGGGCGCCGACACGAGAATGTTGCTCGGAGGGTTGAGCGCATATATGACCGACATGCGCCACTTTTGCTTCTCCGTAAGCAGGACTTGGTGAACAGCGCTTTCATACCGCCCATTACTCCATGCCTGCACGCACTTTTCCAGGCCAACGATCAACATACGCACGGACTGACTTTTCACGACGACACTCTGAGCCTCGTCCCGGTGGTCGACACCCTGGACTGGCCGACTGACTCCACCCGAGCTCAACATCCGGATTCCCAAAAAATTGGTTCCTGTACGTCCCGGGGAATGTCGAATCATGGGCCACTCTTTAGTTAGGTGACCGATTTCGGTGTGCCTGGACGCAGACAAAACCTGACTCCTACGACTAAAGCTTACAGCAATGTGCGCTGGGCAGAATATGAGCGGCATGGAGCCGGCTGGCGCATTCGGGACTTCCGACCGCGAAGCCAGCGAAAGGCGTGCATGCCAGGATCAGAGTAATTAGAGTAATCAGAGCAACATCAAGACTTCAATCCGGGCCATGTGAGGGGAGCGGTCCGGTACTGACCTCCAAGCAGTCACCAACATTGACGATAATTGCGCCCGGAGTCGGGTTCACGCTGTACCAGGTCTCGCCCTTGAGCACTTGCAGGCCGCCCACCTCGTCCTGCTGCAGCATTACTAGTACGCTGGGATCAGAATGGGGGCCAATCCCGAAGGTCACCGCTTGCGGCGGACACGGCGGGTACCGGTTGAATCTCCAGGAGCTGTCGAATTTCGTCGAGTCTCGGAAGAAGTCGGAGTAATAGTCCGCGGGCAGGCCGATGTTGCGCGCCAGCAGCTGCAGAATCTGCATTGACAAGCTCTGCAGCGACGCGCTGTACTCCTTCACGGCCGTGCTGCAAGAATGAGAATCCCAGTCGCATGCTTAGATTAGACGGATGCCATGCCATGCCTCACATCATCGGGTACCGCGAGAGCGAGCAAAGTCAGAAATCTCGAAATCCCAGAATCCAAGCCAAACCCAAACCGGCGGAATTCTCAGGCCCCAGAATCGCTTCTGAGGGCGAGTCCCGCTTGCACGAGAGAGCTGGCCGAGTCCGGAATGCAAGCCGTCGAGTGACACCACACTGGAAAGGCTGGGAAAAGCTGCAAAGACCGAGGACTAGCGACATGCTAGCTACGAGAGGTGAGCTTAGGGACGGGTGGACCATGGACAAGAACGGAGGGAGCACGGTGAATGGTGAGCGATGGTGCGCGAGGGTGAGCTCGGTCGCGGGCAGCGAGGAGATGTACCCGCCGCGGGGAGGATCTAGCAAAACGACTGCAGTGACATCACGATTGTGCGCATACGTGAGGTGCGTTGCGATGCGAGGGATGCCAAGGGGAACTCACCGGAAAGCGTGCCCCACTGGGTCCCCGTCGGGCCATATCGTGAGTCTAATGCGGTCGGCTTCGCAGGCCGGGGTAATGTTGGCAGCCAGGAACTCCATCCATGGGACTCTGCTCTTCAATCTCTCGTATCTACCGCCGTACCCATAGTAGTTCCCGACGGGATCCGTAGCGCGCTCTTTGAGCTCGACAGGCATGTCCAAAAAACTCATGCCAGCCGTGCGCATGGCGTCGCATACAGCATCCGGAACGCCGTGGTTCACCACCTGGAAAAATCCCCACTCCTCGCAGGCCCGCCCGACCTCCTTGGTTAATTTGTCGACGAGGTCCGGGTCGCCGCTGGACAGCCCCGCGAGGTCGATGACAGGCACCGTCTGCTGGCCATCTTCGGCCGGGGTCCATAGGTCCACCCTCTCGTAATCGGGCCAATTGTAGCGCTCCGGGAGCTGGTGGCTCGCGGGATCCTTGAAGAGCCGAGACGTAATTTGGTGCACATTGTCGGGCCGCCTCACGGCCACCTCCACACCGCCATCTTTCACTGATGGAGCCATGGAATGATGGACCCGGACCTCGCAGGCTCAGATCTCCCGACTGCTCGCTGCGCGGGCCTTGTTTTAACGAGACGCTGGCAGACCACTGGCGACTGGCAGGCGAGCACGCACGCACGCACGAGATCGTTTCTCGCAACTCGGTGTCAGAGATTGTGCACTTGGAGAACAAATAATTTGTTGTCGCCCTGTGCAGAGACACGCGAGAGAGAGAGAAGAGAGAGAGAATGGAAGGGAAGGAAAGGAAAGGAAAGGTAGAGGTGAGCGGAGGTGAGAAGGGGCGAAGGAAAATTTTACGAGAGGGTTGCGGGTCCTGGACCGCGGAGCATGAATTCAGGCGTGTTTCGAAATTCTACGACTCTAATACTCGGTTTGAGAAGCTGTCACTCCAAGTGGTGGCGAACGGATGTTCGCGAGCAGTCGGTATGTCAGTCTGTCTGTCTCTCGAGTGGCACTTGCGCTGCACTGCACTGCACAGCTCTCTTCTCGTCTTGCTCTTCTCTTCGCGTCTTGCTCACTCGCTGCGGATTCAGATCAGTCCAGGGAGGAGAGGAAGGAGATGGGCTAAAATATGCAAGGCGGGGGAAGGGGAGAGGTCCGGGGCCTATCGAACAGCTCGCTGGCCTAAGAGGTGGGCTGCAAATCTGCTGTAGAGATTTGCTGCTCGACTCGCTTCTTAAAAGCAGGTTGAAGCGGCGCGTTCACGTCCAGGTCCGGGTATCGATGAACGCCCTCCGTATGTTTCCACCCCAGGACCGACTTCCTCTACAGGAATGTCGCGCACAGTTCGGTCTACGTCTTGATATGGAGGGAGAGAAGAAGAAAGAGAGCGGGGGCGAGGTGAAAGGGAGAGGGGCGGGGCAGGAGTAGAGCTCCGCGAAGAGAGGCGAGAGGAGTGGAGTTGCTCAGATGTGAGAATGAGGGAGAAGGCACCGAGAGATATTTGGAGCGCTGATGTCAAGTCTAAAAGGTTTTGGTTTGTACCAACCGACAAAGCTGGCACCACAGCAAGGCTGGCTGGGGCTGCTGCTGCTGCTGGGCCGAGCGACTGCTTGCAAAGGAGAACACCCACAGTCACAGTGGCGAGCCAGAAGTGGTGGGTGGTGAGTGGAGTGGAACGTCTTGAGAGCCTGTGGTAATCAGCGCTGACGAGCAACGTATACCTCAGGTAAAATAGACAAGCTAGAGGAAGAGAGAGAGAGAGAGAGGGAGAGAGTGAGAGAGTTCGTCTTAAGCCAAGTCAAGCTCAGCGCACACGCTGAGCTCTCTCTGCTCTCTGCCAATCTGCCCAGACAAAGTCTCCAGGAAAGGAATGGGAATTCAAAGGCAAAGCAAGCCCAGGCCAGACACAACACTATTCGTTAACTGTCTCCCTCAGCAGTAGGAGGGAGATCAAGACATTGCAGATCTAGCGCAGGCACATGGGCAGCCAGTCGAAGAAGAAGAAGAAGGAGAAGGAGAAGTAGAAATAGAAGTAGAAGAAGAATAAGGCATGAAGGGGAGAAGCAGAAGTATGGATGCCGAGTTAGCGAGCGAGTGAGTGGGGAAGTGAGCGAGCGAGCGAAGGTGAGTCCGGGCTTACAATGAAGTCGTAGGGTGGGGCGGAACCCGGATAGAGGTAGACAGCAGTACCAGCCAGTAGATTGGCTCACGGGGGACAAGATAATATTAACTCGGCAGCGAGGTGAAATGAAGGTAAATCATGAGGAAAGAGCGGCAGGAGTTGACGATGATGAACATGTCCCCAGGTGCTGTGCAGCAGACTTCTCGAGACCCGGCGTGGTATGATCAACTCATGATCACTTAAATGCAAAGTAAAAGATATTGGGAACTTCAACGGTTAGAGGGAATGGCGAGAACCGAGAGTAGAGGGAAGGAGGTCACTTTTGCTGTGGGAGGGAGGGAGGGACGGAGGGAGGGCATATGAAGAAGGAGCGCAGCAGCATGTCCTTGTGGAGAAAAGCGAGCACCATTCTCCTTTATCTCCTACAGTCGAGCCAGTAGTAGAGCCCAGTGCCCCCTTCCAACGCGCCGTTTTGCCTGGCCAAAATTGGATGACGCTAACGAGAGCATTCAAACCAGCCAGAGCTGGGCACCAGAGTAAATATAGCACCACCAGCAGCAGCATTTCAATCAAGGGCTCCAAGAACTTGGAGTTTATGATCAGGACAAAAAAAGGCCAACGACTGCAAAGATTTCTCCATTTGAGAGACTGGACTTGATGTAACTCATCGGTCAGGCGCAAACAAACATGCGCAGAGCGACTCTGAGCGAGCGAGTGTCAATTCCGTCCAACGGCTGTGCTGCCAAAGCACGATGGCAAAAAAATAAAATTCCAACGACAGCATCCAAACGACAAATTCGGCCTCTGCCAGAAGGATTTTCGCGAAACGCACACCCATGCCTTTTTTTATTGCTCGTAACTGGCTTCCCTAGTTAAGGTGGGCTCCTAATCTCTGGGTACCAGCCATGCACTCTCCTCCACTTTTTCGCATTAATTAATAGGACGGATTCTATAATCGACAAACTCGCTGCTGATGTCAAGCTTTAGACACGAACCCCGCTAAATTAATCCTCCCCAGTCCAGCAACTGAGGCGTCGTCCTCCCCCTCTCTTCTTAATTAGCTCCTCTCTGCCACCCTTCGTCCTCAAGCCAGACTTGGCTCTACCTCGGACCCCTCCCCATCTCCCGGCAGCCCGGCAAATAGTGCTGGGGAGTGCCAGTTCCACTAGCACTCCCCAGCAGTCGTCTCCTCCCTCTCCCGTTGTATACCCCCCACCCCCACCCATCTCCCCAAGTCCCAGGCCGTCCTCCTCACACGAGCACAGAGCAACCCTCGCTCTTCACTCCACGTACATGCACCTGCCAGGCCCCCCGACCCATGACATGCCTGGCCGGGGCTGCCCATGAGGCCTGCCCATCTCTCATCCCTCCGTCCCTCTCTCTCTCTCATATTCAACTCCCTCGCAGCCTTCCGCTGAAATCGGTCCGGGTCGTGGACCGTCTTCGCACCTACTGTTCGAGTTCGCGGCGTTTGTTAACAAGTGTTGGGCCTTGCGGGATGACGTACCGAGATTAAAAGCATGCGCGACCGTTCGATTGCTTGTACCATTTCGATTCGACGACCCCGTCCCGTCACGTAACCTTATTCAGCGTCGTCTCCCGTGCACAGGCCCTTCTTTTATGATAGACCAGTCCCGTACTGTACCGAGTCCAGTCTACGATACTACTACACTTCCATGCATACGCAGGAAGTCCATCAGAGAGCGGCACACTTCCTTTGTACACCGTACGAAGCCTCGCTCGCTTGCTCGCTCACTCTTCCAAATGTCTTCTCCCTCGCTCGATCCTACGTGTCCACCCACGTGGTTTCATCCATCCGATATGTCCAGCTGCGTGGATGTGGCATGCTGGCGGACGGACGGCGTAAGCCATCTTTAATGTTCTCCGTTAATGAACGCTTAAATTTAGTAGAGCTTTGTCCGATGCGATTACGAGGATGGGAAAGGGGCATTGACAGATGTGGCCGTCAGGAATCAGGAACCGTCGCAGTGCTGGTTGGCTCCGGTTCGTTCGGCCTCCCGACGCGGGACTCCAGCAGTTCCGCTTTCATTTAGCGGACCCATACGAATACGTACAGTTATGAGAGAGTTGTGGATACTGACTGTATCGTCTGTGACTACGTACGGATCCTTCCCCGTCATTGGTCGACCGCGGTTGAACCACGGTTGGCAGAAGACGAGAGGAGACGAGATGAGTCCCCTGCGTCGGGGGCTTGGAGGTCGACCGAATTTCAAGACCGGGTTCTGGGTACTGCAGTAACTGCACTGGCCTGCGCGGGGCACAGGCCGGGGAAATGCGCAATGTGCTACCGCAGTCATAATGGTGGTTTAATGCGTGTCAAAGGATGCAGTCCGAAGTTTGAACGGGGTCGGGGGACGATGAATGAAAGGTAGAAAGTTAAAGACATTGCTTCCGCAGCACATCACCTGCGAGCGAGTCCGCCTGCGACCCTGCGTTCACTCTTGCCAGCCGCGGCATTGAGGAGCGAAGATGGGGGGAGGGGGGGGGGGGGGGGCGGGGAGGAATTATTTGCACTTTCAATGCTCTTACAGCAGAGGACTTTTCTTGGGCGTTGGTATGCGACAGACAGCGCCTCGTCCTCAATTCTCAGTTGCACCCACCCTGCAAGGTCATGGGCTCCCTTCCCTTTTAATGAATGGGTCTCTTGGGCTGGAGAGACCCATTCTTCTTCGTCACTGGGAACGTCAAAATGTGGCCGGAGCCAATGGCGACACATGCAATCCGAAACATCGAAAAGAACCTCAGAATCGACGTCCATGGTCTCGGTAACGTGTAGACGGCAAAAGTGGGGCGAGGGGGGCGGGGGCGAAGGAAAACGCCGGGAGCAAATATTGGAGATAAACGATATTTTGCATATTATTGTGCAAAATAAATGTCCTCCATGTGACATCGTTCATGCTTCCAATCAGATGTCCAAACCATTCCATTCATGTCACGTTGCGTGCATGTGCCAGGCCATGCCAAGACCTTACATCGGCTCTCATTGGGTGCGCCCTATGCATGTGCTATGTCCCGTGACATGCCATAAAAGCTCACCCCCTCTTCTATCAAGACGGACGACACTCAGACACCAAAACTTTGCGACTCAATCCTCTATAATATCGCTCGCTCTTCCATACGATATCTCCGTTCATTCATCGGTTCATTCATCCTCTCCTTTTCGTTGCTCTCCTTTTCTTTAATCTTCCATGAGGACTCGCTCCCCCTCGCTTGCAAAGGGGCCACGCCCCAGCCCAGCCCATCATCGATGTTTTTTTGTCTGTTCAACAGTCCCGGCAAAGAATATGCACATGTTTGCACAAGCCACAAGCGTGCTTGCACATGGCAATTTGGCACTCATGAACTGCCTCACTTCTATGCCCATGTCATGTGCGACAATTTGCGTGTATTTTAAGGAATCCGAAATATGCAGGATGAAATCATCACACCAGCCGGCGGGGTAAAAGAACGACCAACAAATAAAAACCTTCCCACCATCGCCGGGTGAACGACGACCGGGCTCATGCAGAAGACAGAAAATAAAATCGAAAAGAACTGACCGAAGGCGCGAGACATTAAACTTTGGACTTGTTGTACATGCAGGGTGCATACATACATACCTGGTACTTTTCATGGGCCCAAATTCTCTGCGTCAAGAGGGTCCAGAACTCGTGCTATTCGCACTCTTTATCGAGCCTGAAAGTGCCTCGAGGCTTCTGGCGCGGGTCGGTCGTGCGTGGCCTAGGTCTACATGTCATACTGTAATGTTCATTCCTCGTGCTGTTTCCACAAGCCTTGGTCCCTATTTGCGAGGGAAGTGTCAGGAGGCGAGGCGTATAGCTGGGGTCGGTCGGGCGGGCGCCTCGCTTGGAATGTGATCGACAGTATAGGACGGTAGTTTTTTAGTCAATCGACCCGCATCGAAAATCCTTCCATCACCGGCACAAGAGATCAATTTTTAACTCCACCCGAGCTCACGTACCGAAAGACTCACAGACACACGCCCGCCTTGCTTTAGGGTGGTGGACCTCGAGTCTCCTTCCCATGACACTCTCTTGGGGATGGACAGAATGTGTGTTTGCATGTGAGCTTTTTATCGCGATGCACTTCCCCATGAAATCTTGCCGGGCAGGCCTTGGTTATGCCGGAAATTATATCATGCACACGACCTCCTCCAGCAAAAGATTGGTTAGAAAAGTGATTGCAAATGTTTAGCTCAGCGAGCGAGTTCCGTGGCGCGTAAAGCAATTTGCATCACTGTTGTACATCTTCTCACAACGTCCAACAGAAGTACATTTTGGAAGAGAGAGAGAGAGAGAGAGAGAGAGAGGTCCCTTATCCCTCTTGGTCCCCTCGCTAAC